TCTTGAACAAGTCCACGTGGCCTCTTTCTCCAACCGTTTGATTCTTCCTCGAAATTTTGGCTGGAGGTGAGGAGATTCGATTAGCCTAGACGATGGAGAGGAACGGGCTGAAGAGGCGCCAAATTCTATTGCCCCCCATCGTTTCCCCCTTTCTGAAAAGCCGACGACTTCAAGTCCTCCGGATTTTTGATGGGAATTCCTCATCTTGACGGAAATGGAAGGAAGGGGCTGTGGAGACGAGATTTGTTGATTTTCGGTTTTTTGGAGTCAATTTCCGCAAGGATCTTTGCTAGCTTTCCCTGGCCTGTTTGAACACTGAATTTCCCAAATGCTCTCTCCTAGCTTGCCTAGCTGAAGATCATAATGATCTCTGCAAGCTTGCCCTAACATGATTAAGCAAAAATTTCCTAAAAATTGTTAATTCCTCGCGTAGCTAACGTTCCTCAAAGATCTTTGCTAGCCTACCCTTTCCTAAAGAACCTTTGCCAGCCTTCCTTTGGGGGGCTTCTGGCTTCCTTGAAATTCCGGGTTCCTCAATGCTCTCTGCTAGACAGCCTTTTCCTAAAAAAAGCTCTGCTAGCTTGCCCCCAGTCTGGTATTAATCGAGCCGGGCCTCCTAGAACTGCCTAAATTTCCCGAAAAATCACTGCTAGTTGCGGTCGCCCTAAATCCTATATATGTCCACAAATTTCCCAAAGAATTCTGCTAGTTTGCCCAAAGAATTTCTCCTAACTTGCCCTAGTCCGCTGGGGATCGTCCAGACAGTCCTGTTAATGCAGAATTCCCCAAGAATCAATGCTAGCATACCTTGGACTAGACAAACGCTTTTTCCTCACCTGATCAACGACCCTCTACCCCCAAAAAAAACACGGCTACGCAACGCTACAGGGGTCCAATGAGCGTGTTTCTCTTTTAGGGGGTGATTACTACTTTGCACCCCCTTCAGAGTCAGCCATTTACGCAGTAGCTGAATATTTCTGAGGTACATGCCTTTCATAAGAGATGAGGGGGAAAATAGACAAAGTGCCGATTAGGGGGGATAACGGCAGGGGGGTAATTTTGAGGTCTACCTGAGCCCATGAAAATTGGTGGTGGCCCCGAGAAGCCGTGTCGGATTGGCTGGGCGATCAGAAAGTGGAGCCCACCACCCCACGGCTGATCCGGCTCGTGATTTTATTTTGGTCTGGGTGGTTTTGAAATGGGGGAACATGGCTAGAAGCTTTGAAACTTCGGCTCTTTCTCCCGCTCTTCCTGCCTGCTTGCTGTCTATCTGTCTCTCCGACTTGTACGCACTCTCTCTTGCTCACTCTGTTTCTCTCCTGCTCCTTCTTTATATCTTCTTCTCTCTTCCGCCATCTCGTCCTAGCTCTCTCCCAAGTCTCTCGCATTTTCTCTCGTTCTCTTTCTCGTTCTCTGCTTCTCGTTCTCGCTTTCTCGCTCTCTCTCTCTCGCTCGCTCTGTCTCTCTCTCGCTCTTCAAATTTTCGCTGGTTAGACCTGGGCGATAGAATGGGTCGAGAAACACGCCCGACAGAAGGAGAGAGATAAAGAGAATGGGGAATGGAGAGACAGAGAGACAGAGAGAGACAGGGAGATATAGTGCGTTTTCCATATTTTGTTGTTTCTCGGTTGCTTGAAGGTGTTCTATTAATAAAATTTCCTCCAACAAAATAATCAACGGCAAATCGTCACCCACCCCCACCTACCAGGCATCATTCCCACGACTCTCCAATTTTGACGACCACCACCAATTCGGGGGTCCAAACGTGGAGGCGCTCGCTTCATTTTTAGATTCCCAATTTTGTGCGGGTTTTACTGGATTAAACTCGTGGAATAGTCTAGATTTTTATTGCCGTGCCTTTTAAAATGCCCAAACAAATAAAAAGACTAAAAAATACCAAGGACCATTTTTACCTCCAACTGCGGTTCGGTCAAAGCTTTTTAACTTTTTTCAAAAATCCTTGCTTTGCTGCTCCATTAAAAGTCAGAAAACCCACAAAATGAACGAATCTATTTCGGGGAGCATCAACTTTGATCCGCCCGATTTTTATGCGTAAATGCGATTTGTTGTCGTTCTCTCCATTCAGCGAGTCCAGGGGGGAGGGACAGCGACGGCTCGGAGTCGCGCGTAGAATGGAATTACCACCCACCCCCCTCTAGCCATACGAGTCGATACAATGGACGGATGAATGGCACGACCGGGTTGAAAAGTTATATTATGTTTGGCTGTCTGTCTCTCTCTCTCTCTCTCTCTCTCTCTCTCTCTCGCTCTCTCTCTCTCTCTCTTTCTCATCTAAAAATATTTGCATCACAGATCCATTCAGCTTCATTTTGACCGTGTTTTTGTCCAATAGCAGCCAGTTGTTTATGTACTTTCCAAAGGTTGATCCTGCTTGAATTTTGAAAAATACGGCATACGGTATTTTTCGATTTATAGTTTATTTTGGCGTTTTTAGACTGTCTAGCCATTTTTTTGATTAGCGCCGTCTAGCCATTTTGACGTTGTTCCGGTGTTATGAAAACTGTCGTATTTTCCTACGATTTTGCCGTGCGTACTACAGGGTGCGTCAAAAAAAAAAAGCCAAGTTTGCACCAAAATATCTCGCTTATCTTTGAGAATCGAAGGTACGTTACCATGCCAGAATGCTTAAATATGCTGGGTATGAAGATTTAACACAACTTGATTTTTTCGATTTTTGAGTACGCAACTGTACTATTGACGCTGGTTACGACCGAAAATTGTGCGTTCTTGAACGGGTGGTGGAAAAATTCTGATTTTTGGCCTATAAATAGTTGATATTTGTAGAAAAATAATAGCAAAGTCTTAGAATTTTTAAAGGTTTAGTTCTTTTTTTACAGGCAAAACAAATTTCCCTATTTTGCTTATTTTTACTTTTTAATTCGCAACTCGCTTCAAATGCGCTGCCCATGGCTGATCTTTTGCAGATGGTGTCTCCGAATGATAATCTTTAGCACAACACCAAATTTTACCTGATTCTATGGTATTTTAATATTGCTTGCTAAAACGTGCCCCAGAGGGATACTGTCGTTTTTCGCGTTTTTCTTTTTATTGTAAGCTGCGATTTCGCTTAAAATTTTATCATTGGTAAACATCAGTAAGGGTCACCTATTGGCCAAAGATCGTGGAGTTCCAGCCATACACCTTCTTAAAATATGCAAAAAAACTTATTTTTGAATTTAGCCACGGAAATGTCTAAATATTTTGATGCATCGGACCAAAAACTACTATTATTTGTTTTCCCGAAAGATCGAAACGTTTCTATGGTGAAAAGAACGAGAAAACGGCGATTTTCTGTTTTCTACAGTAACCCGCCTGGAGCGCGTTTTAGCATGCCAAGACAAAATGCCATAAAATGCCGATTTTTCTATTCTATAGTGTTCTCTGGGTGATTGTAAGAGCACCTACAAAAAATTACTTGATTCCTGTGGCAAATGACAAAGTTATAAGGGAAAGAGGAAAACCCCCCTCGGACCCCGATTTTGGACCCGAGGCCCCGGGCTGAAAATCGAATTTTTGAAAATGAAAAAGTCATCGGATTTTCGTGGATATAATTAAAGCACGCATCGAACTGTGTATGAGAGCAGAATTCTGGAATGATCTGGCTGAAGTTAATGGTTAATTTTGATTTAAAACCCGAAAATAACGTTTTTGAAAAGTCGACTTTGGGGCGCTCTTCTAAATTCGTTAGCCATGAAAAGGTTTTGTATTTGCACGGGTTCTGGTTGACTACCCAAACTTGGTCTATGCCAGAAAAGTCGGGGCTGCTAAAACCTCGAGAATTTTTTTACGTCGCCTCGAATTCGGGTATATTTGCACTTTTCATGAATTTCTTTTGAGAGATTGGATGGCCCAATAAATTTGTAAATATAATTTTAGAACGCGCCCATTAAGTAGTATTAAATAAAATTATGACAATAATTCTAGCCGCGCAAATGAATTTTATAGATTGGCACGAAGATCTGCGAAATAGCACGAACCATCCGTTTTGGAGGCGCTAAAATGCAACCTTCCAAAGGGGTACGGTAGCTAAAAATTGTGTACATGATAGATGGACTCCAGTACTACACAACCAAGCAAAGCAAACACCGAAATTCTATCTGCAATTTTATAAATATTTTTCCAAAGTTCAGTTTCGAGACCTCGAAAGAATCCATGACCAGGGGGTCGTCGAAAAACTCAAAAATCCGCGGATCTGAAAATTTTTTTTGATATTTTTGCGGGATTGTATCGAGCCTATAGACATGCTAAAACAGCTTATGTTCGGGTTTCTACCATAGGTTTTTGTAATATCCGAAATTTACGAAATTTCTCCATATTAAATTTGAGCATGCTATAACTTGCCAACCAGACCTTCGAAAATTCCAAAACTCCGGATGTGCGTAGGGGCAGTCCTTAGGTACCTACACTGTAAAAATTGGAAGTGTTCGACCACCAGCAATCCTAAAAAAATACAAACAAAGTTTTGCCGGAACGCACAGTTTTCGGGTGTCATTTGTATGGGTACGTCGCCAAAAATCGAAAAAATCAAGTTGTGTTAAATCTTCATACCCAGCATATTTAAGCATTCTGGCATGGTAACGTACCTTCGATTCTCAAAGATAAGCGAGATATTTTGGTGCAAACTTGGCTTTTTTTTTTTGACGCACCCTGTACGTTACGCTACGCTCCGATTACAGTTGCGTACACGTAGTAATACTGTCGTTTGGAGCGGCGCGTACATTCTGGACGTCGTTATCGCTAATTACGCTTCATTCATATTTTCTTTATGAAGTTTTAAAACGGAAAATCTGCCTTTTTTGCCTTTTGGATTATGAACGTTAGTACCTAATGTACTTTCTGTATCTCTCTCTCTCTCGCTCTCTCTCGCTATGTCTCTTTTTAAACAGCAAGCGACAGTACTTATTATATGTTCTCATCGACAATTCGTTCTCTCTCTCTCTCTCTCTCTCCCTCAATTCCAAAGTACACCCCGTTTCCAGATGACTTATGAGGGTCCGTGTGAGGCGGACCCCCAGCTATTCGAGCGCATTAATGGCACCTATGCGGCAAAAGAATGGGTCGGATCGATTACCAGGTAATTTTAGGGTATTTTTGAAAGTTTCTGCCATTTTAAAGAGATCGTGACAGCTAGATTTTCGGCGCTATCGATTTAGCAAGCGTCAGGCTATAAAGAGCGCTCAAAATTGTAGTTTACATGCTCTAAAACCTCTATATTTCAGCGGCTACAACACAGCCCACCCCTATCTCTGCCTCTTCGTATGCCCACTTGGCATGTTTATGAATTTCGTCCACATTTTGGTAAGTTTGTAAGCCTAAATTTTTTTGCGATCTACATGGCGTAATGCATTGCGTTAAATAGGATCTATTAAATGTTGTAATCAATTATTCCAGGTCCTAACCCGACCGAGAATGCGACGATCCGCCGTAAATCGAGTGCTAATCGGGGTGGCACTGTGTGATGTGGCCACAATGACGTCGTACCTCATCTACATCCTTCGCTTCGTCTTTATCAGGCAATGGAGAGGCGAGAGGGCGTTTAGGTGGGTGCAGGGTAACTAGCAGCGTTTTTTGGGAAGCTAGAGAAGGATCTAGGAGCTTGGCGAATCATCCAAAACGTTTTTTTCAGCTACGAATGGGCTTTATTCCTCCGGCTCCATGCAACCGGAGCTATCGTACTCCACTCAACAACATTGTTCCTATGCGTCACGATGGCATTTATACGGTAGGTCGAGCTAAAAACACTTTCTAGGACCAGCGAAATTTTATTTTCATGCTAAAAAAAATTTTTATGCTGTGGTGTAGGGGTTGTGTTCTAGAATTCCAGGTTAATGGCCAGGGTTCGATCCCGGTCGGACAGAGCTTTTTGCTTTTTGGAAAAACGAGAGCCAGAGGGTGGGAAAGAGAGAGAGAGAGAAAGAGAGAGAGAGAGAGAAAGTAAGAGAGAAAGAGACACAGAGAGTGAGAGCGAGCGAGAGAGTGAGAGAGAGCGAGAGAGAGAGAGAGAGAGAGAGAGAGAGAGAGAAAGTAAGAGAAAGTCACGAATTCTCCTCCTTCCAGATGGCGAGCCATGCGTGATCCGCAAAGCCGTTGGCTTCGGCCCCAGCTGACGGGTTATTTATGCTCCTCCGTGTTCATGGTGATCGTCGTCATTTGTATTCCGACGTACATCGTACATGAGGTATTTCGAGATTTTCTTGGCTTGCTAGTCCCTTTAAAGTTTAGACCCTAAAAACGTCGATTTTTAGGTGATCGAGTATCGACCATCCGCCGAGGAGCACGACGTCGTCTATTACACCGTCGATTTCTCGCAATTTTCGCTGAAAAATCATTGCCGATTTTTGAAGATGAATTTATGGTTGTTGGGGATATGTTTAAAGGTGAGTTTTCTTGCTCTCTCTCTCTCTCTCTCTCTCTCTCTCTCTCTCTCTACCTCTCTTTTTCAGGTAATCCCGTGCCTATTGCTCAGCTTTTTCACGATATTCCTGATGATACTGCTCAAGGAAAACAACATCAAACGAACCGTAAGGAGTATTGCAGCGGAATTTTATCAATGACCATCTCCAGGTTTTGCTGTACTCCTCCACCGGGGCGCAGAAGCGGAAGCAGAACTACGATCGGACAACGATGACGCTTATCGTCATGTTGGCCGTGTTTTTGGTGGGTTACTTGATTTTACTCTGCGTCTCTCCAATCTCCGCACCCTCTAGCTTTTTCTGACCCATAAAAATGTCTATTTTAGCTCACAGAAATGCCCCAAGGCGTCATCTCGGTGTTGATCGGCGTCTACACAAACGACGTCTACAATGTGGTCTACATCAATTTCGGGAACCTGTTGGACTTGTTGTCGTTGCTGAACAGCTACGTCGGCTTCATCACCTACTGCTTCTTATGCAGCAAGTATCGACAGACCTTCTTGATGATGCTCGTGTCGGCGTGAGTTTTAGACTTGATTTTTATCCATTTATACCCTTCTCTCTCTCTCTCTCGCTCGCTCTCTCTCTATCGCTCGATATATCACATTTCAATTTTTAAACTTTTCAGGTCCGAAAAAGCTACCGTAAAATTCGAGAATACTTTTGGTGACGTGATGTCTGGATTATGGGTACCTTCAAGGTTAGTTTTTTTGCAAAAAATGACGTTAAATATTTATTTTGATGCTGTATTTTTTATACGGCAGATTTATACGAATTTAAATCTAATAAAAATCATCAAATCTACCGTATCTCTTCAGAAAACGGGAAAGCCGCGAGATGACGCAGCTGTTCGTCACGGCGGATGTTGTAGCAGAACGGGAATGATGTTTTTCATAGTAATCGTAGGGCTAAGCCAAGCTTAAGCTCAGCTTAGGCCTCAGCTGACAAGGAGACGTTTTTGAGTGTCGTCGGGACTTTGACATGGGACTAAGCCTATTTTGTGCAGAATTTTACGCTGATTCCGATTATGGTAACCGTTTTTGCGGAATAGCCCTTTTTCTCGAAAGTTATGAACGATTTAAACCGCAAAACAGTCCAAAATCGGCTACTTCCGATAATAATAAAAGGCTTCGGAACAGGTTTTAGACAAAACCAGATCGTGCATCTTGTGCAGAAAAAAATTCTCTATAAAACGTACCATCTTCTCAAAAATCATTGAAAAGTTAGAAAAATTTGAAAAATTGGGGGATATTATACAAAAATTTTCAAATAATTTACCCTATTTTTACAAAAATTTTCAAAATTCCAACAGTTTTGAGTTAAGTACCTTATTTTATAGAGAATTTTTCTCTGAACAAGATGTACTATCTGGTTTTGCCTAAACCCTATTCCGAAGCCTTTTACGACTATCGGAAGTAGCCGATTTGGGCTGTTTCGAGGTTTAAATTGTTCATAACTTTCGAGAAATGGCTATTCCGCAAAAACGGTTACCATATTCGGAATCAGCGTAAAATTCTGCACAAGATAGGCTTGGTCCCGTGCCAAAGTCCCGACGACACTCAAAAACGTCTCCTTGTCAGCTTATTTCTCATTTCTGATATTTCCCTCTCCTCGGGTTGTTTCTACACAAAAATCGAGATCTCAGCCGGAAGTTGTCTTTTTTGGAAATTGCCATATTTACCCGTGAATCCTTGAAGAAAAAGCTGAACAATAAAAAAATCGGATCTGATTGGGTTAATTTAAGCTGTTAAATTTTAAAGATTAGTTTAACTTTAAAAAAATATCAGTTTTCCAAGCTAAGAAAAGTCAAAAATAATTATTTCGTTACTTTTAACCCATAAATTACATACTATAAACTACAAAATTCAAGGATTCACATCTTCTTCTCCTTTCCCTTCTTGCCCTCTATAAATAAACGGGTCCCACCACGATGATTGTCTCTCCATCCCTCCCCCCCACTGAATATTGTGATCCACGCCAACGTGCTAGTCGATATTATACGATACGGTAGATTTGGATAAATTGTAATTTGGAGTGTTGTGTACTGTAAGATACCTTTAAGGGCATGAAACATCCAAAAAGCAAAAAGTACGCACCCGGCGAGATTCGAACTCGGGCCGTGTGGGTGGGAGCCGAGAGCACTACCAAATAGCCATAACATCAAAATTCAGTATATTAAAACTTGTCGTGTTTTTAATCATTTGATGTTTATTACAAGCACCCGTAGCATTTAAAATTGGTCGCGTGATATCAGCGAAAGAGAGAGAGAGCGAGGGAAAGAGAGCAAGTGAAAGAGAGAGAGAGAGAGAGAGAGAGAGAGAGAGAGAGATAGAGGGAGAGAGATAGAGGGGGCGAGACAGAGAGAGAGAGCGAGAGATAGAGGGAGCGAGACAGAGAGAGAGAGCGAGAGATAGAGGGAGCGAGACAGAGAGAGAGCGAGAGATAACTAAATAAAAAAAGTACAGAAAGCAACTAATCCCGCATCTTTTTCGATTTTTTTTTGATCTGTGAAAAACTTGAGATCGATCTTTTGTAGAAACCCATTTTAGACAACCCAGAAAACAAATCTAGAGGCAATCTAGCAGAGGAAATTGCGGTAAATTGATAAACTACAAAAAGGGATTCACAGATTCACTTCGGACACTTCGAGGAGTCGATTTTCGGATGGTTGGCCCGGGTAGTCGGTCTCCACCGAGCAGCATTGTGAGGCTGGCGCTAGTCGCTGAAAAAGAAACATTTTCAAGCTTCAAAAACTAAAAACTGCCAAATTGCCAAATTCAGGTTGGCTGATTGGTAAAGTGCTAGGCTTCCATCCGCAAGACCCGAGTTCGAGTCCCGGGCATAAAAATTTTTTTGCTTCTGGCCCGAAATCTTTCAAAATTTTTAAAGGACCATGGAAGGCAAATTTCCTAGACGAACCATACCGATAATTGAGGGCTATGCTGTCGATATGGAGTCATCGAAGAGGAACGAAGTCTGGCGATCAGTAGTGAAAATGTTTCCCGATATTGAGAAGATATGCCTAAAGAATATTATTAAGAGCTTACATGAACGCCATTAAAAATTTAATGCCAAATTTAATGCCATGCCAGGGGCCAAAAACCTACATGGATACAAAATGAAGCAAATACACCCATTGACCAGTGAGAGCAAATCGAAGAATTCGCCCAAATGGGAGTAGAGGTACCGATTGACATCTTCGGTGTAGAGGGCGTTGAGCAGCGCTAAGATACCTAAAATACCTGTAATAGGTCTTGAGGCGCTAACTTACCTTGCGGAAGTTCTGTGATGAGAAAAACTGCTAGCAGCAGGATTAGCAAAATTGTTGTTCGATCCGATTGGGCGCATCGCATCTGGAAAGATTTTGGTAGCGAGAGAGAGAGAGAGAGTGAGAGAGAGAGCGAGAGGGTGAGACACTATTCCAATACCTGTATCGACTGCTTGGAAGCAATCTTTTCGTGCGAAATCTTGTTCAAATGCAGCTTGTACAGTAGCCCGATCGTGAAGGCGAATAGTAGAATACACGGGATTACCTTAAAAAGATCTGTATTTTCAACATAAGCTCGATTTCCTAACGAATCTCTGCTAGCCACCCACCTTAAAGAAAATCCCAGTTAGCCATAGGTTCACGATGAAAATGACGCATCTGATGTCGTCATCTTGAGGAAGGACGACCTGGAAAATTTAGCATTATCGATATTTTATTAAACTAAAAAATTATAAGCCGCTAATAAATCATGAAAGTCCTAAATTAATTTAATGGACCTACCATATATTCTCCCTTCATTTCGGATTGGACAATTTGATGGACATAAAAAGTCGGAATGATTAAGAGGGTCATTAGTGTCGCGATGCCGACGAAGATTTTCCTGGAAAAATGGTGGTTTTGGAAAGTAAAAAGCTGCTTATTTTCTCCCTTTTCCTCTTTCATGATTCACTGCATTGGTGACCCTTTAAAAACGCACCATGCGATCCGCGGTCTCATCATTGTCGACTGTACCCTGGCGATGGCCATTAGCCGTATGAAAGCCGTGGCCACGGAGAGGTATAGTGAAATGGAGTGTAGGGCGATTGATGCGACGACGTGGCCTAAAAAGTCTTATAGAAAATGCTGACTTCTCCATCCCTTTAAAAGATTTCGGTTTCAATATTTGACCGAAAAACGCTTATCCCAGACCAATCCGCTCCCTTGCTTCAAGAGGGAGCGGACGCGGTTCCGCCAGATTGCCAATGGCCTATTGGTAGCGTGCTAGCCTCCTGGCCGCAAGTCCAGGGTTCGACTCCCGCAGACGCAAAACATTTTGCGTTTTGCCCAAAATCCCCACGAACCTATCAAGTAGCAGATCCACACGTAAGGATATCCGTAGGGAGGGTCATTTGGATCTACCATAATCCCAAAACGGATTAGGTACAGTAGGTAGTCGATCATGGTGATTGTGTCGCAGACGGCCATCAGGGCTAACTGAAGAGAATTTTGTTGAGCGAGAGAGAGGGAGAGAGAGAGAGAGAGAGAGAGCGAGAGAGTCGTGAGTAAGTGAGTGAGACTTACCAATCGATTGACGGCACTCCTTTTCATAACCGGCCGGGTTAGAATCGTGATATGAAGTATATTGGCCATGACTCCGAGTACGCAGAGGAGAAAAGACACCATTTGATGCATCTGGCCATAGGCACTGAAAAATCGGTTTTAAAGGCATAGCGGCAGTTGCTAAAAGCTGTGGTAGTTCTGTCCGCGACAGTGAATCGCGTAAGATACGCATGTGAGCCGCAAGGCGCGCCACAACGCGCAACGCAGCGCGCATAAGCGCGGATAAAAGCCAAAAAAGCTGCTAGGGCGCCGCTTCCAACACTCGATTTTTAAAAGCTTCCCAGCCGCCCCGAAGCCGCGGCTTAAGCCGCACCGCGAGCCGCAACGCGACGCGCCGCTCAACAAGCCGCGACGGCTCATCAGCCCAATAAAACCCACCCAGCAAACCCCTGCAGCGCGACGATGATCCGCGCGTGAAATTCGCTGTTCTCGTCGAAGAGGCGGGAGGTCGACCCGCCGCATTCTGGCATACTGTAATGGGGCATTATTTAGTTTTTAGCGAGTCCAACAAGTTTTGTAAAACCTGAGCCATTGGACTCGGGAGGCATCCAAAATTGGCAAGGCAACTTTTTCGGAGTCGAATCAGGTAAAATGGTTGGATTTTAGTGCCGTTTTGCACGCGAGTCCGAGCACTTTGAAACATGGGGAGTTAGGTCATCAGGCAAACATTTTAAAAAGGGCAAGTAAATGCAACGGGCCTACGGCATGTTCTTAAAAATAAAAATTTGATAAATTGGTGAATACGGGGTTTAAATTGTCGAAAATAACTTGTCAGAATCTGAGTTTTGGACCCAATTATCGAAGTTTTCTCTGGAAAAGCTGCAATTGAAACGGCAACACCTGGCCGGGTAAACATAGATAGAAATACTTAAACAGGGTTAGAGAGAGTGAGAGAGAGAGAGAGAGAGAGAGAGAGAGAGAGAGAGCAAGAGAGAGATAGAGATATAGAAGAGAGAGAGAGAGAGATAGTTAGAGATAGAGAGAGAGAGAGAGAGAGAGAGATAGTCTGATTTTCCTGATATCTTTAACAAAACCTAAAAAAAAAACTCTGATTCCTCCCCAGGAAGTCTGAATGAAGGGCAAACTTTCCCAAAACCGATACACGTTTTCCCAGGCCCTGATTACCTCCCACATCGCCCTTTTTTGCCCCAGCCCCCAAAAAAGGGACATCCAGAATCCGGGCGACTCCAAATAAACCCCCACGAATCCGAATCACCTCTTCCTCCCTCGCAATTTTCGTTGATCGTTGAGGAGATATTCACGAATTCGCCCTCCCTTACCGCCCAAAATGACCCGTAATTAGGGGTATTTCGGAGATGGAAATTGCCGGGTATTGGTGTTGATTTTTGGCGGCCCGGGGTGAATGGATGAATAGGCGGGCAAGCGAGCAGACATTTTGGGGAGGAATTTAGGCCTTAACGACGCATGGAAGGGATGGCTCGAAAAATTAACGAAAAATCCCATTTTTCATCAAACAAATGAAAATTTTTTTGAAATTTGCGGCGTTTTACGACTCGATATAAAGTATTTAGGACAACTTTTAGAAAATCACCACTTTCCAACTGCATTTAATTCATTTTAAAGGGTTAACAAAGTAAAAAAGATCCGCGATTCCACCAAAAATCGCAAAAATACCGACTTTTAAGAAGATTACGGTAAAGAGGGTGTTTTTTTTAAAAACACACATGATTCTAGGTCGATTTTCAAGGTCCAATGAAGACGGAAAACACGTAAATTCGCGAAAATTCACTAAATAAATCACTTTTTGAGCTTTTTGAGTTTTCTTAAAAATTCGGCATTTCGCCTATTTTTAGTACAATTACTAGGAATATCTAAAGCATATAAAATATGCGCGGCAGAACCCTACTGTAGTCCGCGTCTATAATGGATCTTCTAAAGATGTTGAGGTCGAAATCAGGCCACAAATCCGCCAAAAAAACCTAGGTAAATCCAAGTCCAGGAAGCTTAAGGTTGGCGGAACATATTTTAATAGAATAATCTGGTCTTATGGCCCCTTTAATGGATTCTAAAGGGTTATTGAAGTCCAAAAAATCCGTAAATCCGCTGTAAAAAGCTATAAGTCGGAGTCCAGGAAGCTTACGGTGGTCGAAACAAATTTTAAGCGAATGATCTCTTCTTCAGAGCCCCCTTTAATGGATTCTAAAGGGATATCGAATTCAGAACAAGAGCCGCAAATCCAAGTTTCAAAGCCCTGAATGAGAATATTCCGCGCTCAGTGCCCCCGATTACGACATATAAAAAACAGACGGCAACCCATTCTGGAGTGGCTAAGCCGGCAGAGAGAGAGAGAGAGCGAGAGACAGAGAGAGAGAGAGAGAGAGAGAGAGAGAGAGAGAGACAGAGAGACAAAGAGCGGGAAGTGCCTACGGGGATTTCGCGGTCGCAAATAATTATTCGTGATGCCAGGGTGAAACTCCGTGACCCGGCAACTACGTCAACAGGAATGTCATGGAAAAATGGACGCGGAATGAGGCATTTTAAGATGACGGAAACTTTCACTTTTAAATAAGCGCCGTGAAATGCGTGGCGTATCGTATTTCAAAAACAGATTATGTTCGGTGACTATAGTTTTGCGGCGGAACGGCATTTGGAAAATACGGAATTTTGCGATTTTAAACGGGGGTTTGCAAGTGGAATATCCGGGGGTTTTACAGTATTCAGGACACGAATTGGTACTTGTCTTTTAGCGGGGGGAAGGGAGTTCGCCCGGAAAAACCTGTTTCTTATTGTCCGCCTATCCTACTATATATAAAAAAATAGTGTCTGTGTGTTTGTGTGTGTGTGTGTGCCACTTTGCATGCAACTTCCGTCAGGGTGTCCGGAAGATATCTCAGAAAGGGAAGGGTATTAAGCGACGTATGATACGTCATTAGGTGCGTAATGGTTCTGGGATGACTGCACGCATATCAAATGTTGCAAATTCTGCTATTTTCGACATTAAAATTAAGTTTTTGTTGAAAAATCGGCCGATCTCTTTGTTAGGAAAAATTAGCATACTCCGGAAGTGACGGTAGCCTATATATAATGCGAGAGAGGGGCCTTTTTCATTTTTTCAATGCAGGGAATTCGAGAAACGTATGCAGAGTGAAGAATATTATGAGTTGGACAGGGCCAGGGTTGAAAAGTCGCGAAGCGGCTTTTCAACCCTGGTATATAAAAAAAAATAGTGTCTGTGTGTGTGTGTGTCTGTGTGTGCCACTTTGCATCCACTTCCGGATGTCTGTCCGGAGGATATCTCGATAGGAGATGAATTTTAAGGTATGTATAATACGTCATTAGGTGCGTAATGGCCTGGAGATGACTGCACGCATAACAGATTCAACAAAATCGTCTATTTTCGACATTAAATTTATGCGTTTGTGAAAACTTCTTTGTTAGGAACAATTAGCGTAGACCGGAAGTGGGGATTCGACTATATAAAGGGGCCGAAGAGGGCGTTTTTCATTTTTTGTTATCTGAATTCAGGAAACTTATGCAAAGTGAAGGATAAAACGGGGTCAGACGAGGCCAGGGTTGAAAAGTCGCGAAGCGGCTTTTCAACCCTGGTTAATAATAGATAAACCGCGGAAATGCAAAAAAATGGTTTATATTTCGTTATCGGTCCGTAAGGGAGTACTGGGAAAAATTGATCCCCCCCCGCTAACAGTGCAGTACCTAAAAATTCCGTAAAATTCCGCAAAATTTGGTGATTTTCGAATTTGAAACAAAACATTGATTGCGGTAGGAAATCCTTGTTAAAAATATCCAAAATATGGCTCTAAACTACACCCCGAATTTTGAAGCGCCAAAAACTTCAGGATCCTCAATATATTTCACTATTTTTTTCGGCGGAAGCTGCAGCTGGGGGGTGGGTGGGGATGAAGAGATTAGAAGCCCCCACGACGAGGTACTTATTTTCCAAAAAATATTAGGTACCCCGAGAGAGAGAGAGCGAGAGAGCGAGTGAGAGAGAGAACGAGAGAGCGAGAGCTGGAGAGAGAGGGAGAGTGAGCGAGTGAGAGGGAACCAGAGAGAGCGAGAGAGAGGGAGAGTGAGAGGGAACGAGAGAGAGCGGGAGAGAGCGGGAGAGAGAGGGAGAGTGAGAGAGAACGAGTCAGAGAGAGGGAGAGAGTGAGATGGAATGAGAGAGAGCGGGAGAACGGGAGAGAGAGCGAGAGAGAGCGAGATTGAGCGTGAGTGAGTGAGAGTGGGTGGATGAGTGACAGTGGGTGAAAGGGTCAGAGGGAGCAAGAGGCAACGAGAGATAAAAAGACAGAACTAACGGGATCTTTTGCATTATCGAGGGGGGGTATCAGGGAGGAACCTAATATTTTTGTATAGACTCATGATTAGTAATTTTTATCATATTAATAGCTTTTGGTAGTTTTAGTAAAATTTAACCATGTTTTAAACAGAAGAAGTATCTAAAATCTATTAAGAAATGGTCAAGGTACAAAATTTGGTCGAGACAAAATCTATATTTTGGTATCCCTTAACAAAAATTTTTGCAACAGGGTGTAGCAAAAAAAGATTAAAAATACTCTTCGATTTATATTAGAAAAATTAGACCCCCCCCCCGATAACGCAAAAGAACTAATAATGACATACAGGGTGGCCCGAAAGAGTGGTGACCGCAGCTTGCACACAGAATTTCTCTGTTCCCTTACGTGTTTGGGCAAGGCGGGGTTATGGATTCTGTTTCCTATAGATGTTGGCTAAATTTGAGCATACGCTGAGCGCACAACGCAGTCTAGCTTTTACATTAGGAATTTAATTCCATAATTCAAAGTCATGGATTTTTGAAATCGACAAAATCTAAAATAAATTCCTGTGGAAGAAAATACTTAACGATGCCTTTTCCATCTCTTTAACGAGCGTGCCTGACGTTTTCGGTGAAGCTCGTGGTGCAGCTATGGCTCAGAACCCTCCAACTTGGTCAAGTGACTGAGGCCCGTTATTAAGGGTTTTGACCAAACCGTTTTTTGCTCGCCAAAAGAGCCATCCTGCAGCCCCAACCCGTCCCCGCAGAATTTTTTTGTGTAGCCGGTCTGAAAGGCCAAAGTGTTGGTTACTCCCGATTCAATTTTGGGTTCGCTCGCGAAAGTCTTCATCGAGTTATGAGCCAAATTCGGGCTGAGTGTCTGCGTGCCAGCACCTCCGTTTTCCATCCGCTTCCGCGCCAGTTTTTCCGAGTTTGAGGCAAACAAATAAAAAAGTGGTTATACCATGTGGAAGATAATTGTTTAAGGAATATAATGTGCTAAAATGAGCTTTCATCGATCTATAGTTTTTCAGAAAATCGAAAAAGTTTCGGTCACCACTCTTTCGGGCCACCCTGTAGACTTAATACCAAAGTCTAAAGAGCGGGGGTGGCATTATCAAAGGGATTTTCGGGGGCAGGATAATAGGACCCCCGGATTGCGCTGCCCCCGGCGAGACCAATGGCCCTTTTTTGGACCCTCCTCAATCC